ACCCCAAAGGACAGGATCAGCTCCTTGGAACCCCAAAGGGCAGGATCAGCTCCTTGGAACCCCAAAGGGCAGGATCAGCTCCTTGGAACAGCTCTGGGGGTGATGGCTCACCCCAAAGGGCAGGATCAGCTCCTTGGAAACAGTTCTGGGGGTGATGGCTCACCCCAAAGGGCAGGATCAGCTCCTTGGAACAGCTCTGGGGGTGATGGCTCACCCCAAAGGACAGGATCAGCTCCTTGGAACCCCAAAGGGCAGGATCAGCTCCTTGGAACCCCAAAGGGCAGGATCAGCTCCTTGGAAACAGTTCTGGGGGTGATGGCTCACCCCAAAGGGCACGATCAGCTCCAGGGGTGATGGCTCACCCCAAAGGGCAGGATCAGCTCCTTGGAACCCCAAAGGGCAGGATCAGCCTACCCCATAAAACATCCCGCTCAGGGCAGGGATTTAAATCGTGCAGAGGGAGATCTGGTGACAAAGAGGGGGGGTGTCCTCCTGGCATTTGGGGCCATGGAGCTGGAGATCACGTTGGGATCCCTGAGATTTGGGATGTGGGGATGTGTGAGGATGCTCAGGAAGATGCTGGGGAGCCAGGCAAGGGATGTAGCTCTGTGCTGGGACACTTCCAGGAGTGACCATGAGCTTCCCCATATCCCCTGAGCTGGGGAGTCCCACAGGCTCAGCTGCCAGCACCTCATCTCCAGCCACGTTTCCAAAGGATTTTCAGTGGATTAGTGCAGGGTTGAGCTGGTGGGACCCTTTCCAGGTGCTTTTTAGGGATGGGATGTACCTGCTGGGCTGTGCTTGCACCAGGGAGTCAGAGTAGAGATGGGATGCATGGAAATGGATTGTTCAGGGTGGGGAAATCTCACCCTGGATCCCATTGGCAGCTCCTTAACAAGGGGAAACTGAGGCAGGCAGGGCTGGGATGACCCCAAGTATGGCATGGGGCACCCCAGACCGTCAGGGCCACAGCAAGCATTGAGGCTGCTCCATCAAACTGCCCTGTCCCTGCACTGAGGGAATCCAGGGAGTTTCCCCTGTGCCACCACAGCTGGGGCTTTTCTGGGCAGAGGCCATCAGGACTTCACTGGGGACAGTGACACAGCTGGCCCTGAGGATCTTCTGGGAACAAGGGTGACAGGTGAGACCATGGATTTGGGATGGCAGATTGGGCTGAGCTTGAAAGCATCCTGTCCTGCTGCCCCTTGCGACGATGGGGACAGAGAAGGAAAATCGTTCATATCTGCCCTCAGATGTATCCTAGAGGATGCCAGCCCAGGTCCAAACTCAGGGCTCTGAGAGCAGATGGGGAAAAGGGAGGAAAATGCCCCCAAGGATGAGGACTCTGGCAGGGGAATGTTGGTGGATATCCAGTGTTGCTTGCAAAAAAACTCCATGGCAGGATAATTCCTGATGGAAAGGACCCCCAGAGCTCTCCAGGACATCTCACTGCTGGTGGACCCTGCCTGGTCCATTCAGGGCTTGAAAACCTCCAAGGATGAGACAAAAAAAGCCTCCCTGGAACTGTACAAATGTACTTTGTCACACCTCCAAGTCACCTGCCAAGGTTTCTCTGGGGCTTTGCTCGCCTTGCTGCAGCCTCCAGAATAATTTTGATTTCTTCCCTTACTGGAACAGCTCTAGACTGGTGTGGTCTGCCAGGTGCTTGGCTTTTAATTCCACTCTGCCTGCTTTTTTGGATCCAGAAAATCCTGTGGATTACAGCTGGGAACACCCAGAGATGAGGAGTGGGGTGGGGAGGAGCTGGGCTTGGGGCAGGATGAGCACTAGCCATGCCCAGATTGAATTACTGATTGTTTTACTGTCAGTAAAAGTTTTCCAGGAAGCTGTGGCAGGGTGTCCATTCCAGTAACACCCTCAGGGAGCTGAGATTGAAGGAGGGCCAAGCAGGAGGGCACAGAGCCAAGGCCATGTGCTCCACAGTGCAGATTGTGGCTGTGGTTTGCCACGATTCCCCTCCTGCCACGTCCCGAACCATGGGGACAGGGTGGCAGTGGACTGTGTCCCTTAAACACAGCGACCAACTGAGGGAGGAAAACTGATAGCAGAGTGGGAGGACTGGCCAGGGAAGGTGGAGCAGGCTGCACTGTTCAGGCTTTGTGGGGAGAACAATGGGGCCTTTATTGGGGAAGGGAGGTGGCGAGGCTGGCAGGGACAGTTTGGGACACAGAAAGTTCCTTGGCCAGCTGGGGGACAGGGCACTGGCAATGTGGGATGGGACAGTTTGGTACCCAGTGTCCCCCTCGCCAGCTGTGGGGGCAGGGAACTGGGACGGGGGTGGGACAGGTTGGTACACACTGACCAGCTGGGGGGATGGGGAAATGGGAATGGGGAATGGGAAATGTAAAATGGGAATGGGAAATGGAATGGAAATGGAAAATGGGAATATAAAATGGGGAATGGGAAATGCAAATGGAAATGGGAATGAGGAATGGGAAGGGACAGGTTTGTAACCAATGTGACCCAAACAAACTGAGGGGACAGGGAAATGGGCTGGGACAGGTTGGTACCCATTTTGGTCAGAAAGTGAAACAAAGAACAAGGATATGGGATAGGGGATGGGACAGGTTGGTACCCAGAATGTCCTTTGACCACAGCTGGAGGAAACTGGGACACGGCAGATGGGACAAGGGACAGGCCAGTTTGGTACCAAACATCCTCTGGTGGTGGGACTCGCCCCCAGCTGCCCCACAAATGCTGCCATGACTCTCCTTGATGTGGCTCTGCATTCATGGCCACCCTCCCAAATCCTTTGGCATCAAGAATTGCCATATTAAGAAAGAGCTGGTTCTGAGGACCCTGGGGATTCTCAGAGCT